CCTCTCTCTCTGTCTCTTTCTCTGGTCAAATTAAAATAAGTGAATAAATAATTCTTTAAAAATAAAGAAAGAAATAAAGTCTACTTAAAAAATAAAAAAGAACTTCCCCATACTGTTTTAAATAAAGTCAGTTCCTTTGGGGAAAGTGCAGAGATTTTATTTATTTTTTTTTTCTTGTCGTCTGCCTCACTCCCTGGGCAAAATATCTTTAACAACACTCTGGGTGGGTCTTGAATGTGGAGATAGCCTCTAGTCTTCTTGGCTTGCCTCTGCCAGTGTGGCCCCTCTGATTGCCTGAAAGGCTGGGGAGAGGGAGATTGCAGCATAGGTAAGAGGCTCTGTCCCTGAGATCGAGCCTCTATCCTGTCAGTGAGGGCTGGGTGGAAAAATGCCCTTGGGCTCTTGGCCCTCACTAGAAGGGAGCCCTATATTTTTGCCTGAACGTTCCTGGAATGAAGCTTCCACCAGGATGAACTAAATAAGGGTGAGGAAGAGAGAAAGGAGATATTGGCTCAAATGCTACACACTTTCTTAGATTTTATTGAGTAAATGTTCTTTTTTTTTTCTTTAAGAGATTTTTGCTATAGGGCACATGAATTTGCCAGAGAAGACAAAGAGAGGCAGAGAGACAGAAAGCAAGAAATCACCTCCCAGGTGGATGCTGTGCCACAATTCTTTCTTCATTCTTCTATCAGGATTTTGGGCACGCACGCACACACACACCTGGCGTGAGTTTAAGCCCCTGGGTCCAGGACTCGAACCCTAGTCAACTACATGGGAGTCCAGTAGCATAACCATTAGGCCATCAGCTGGTCCCAGTCCCAACCATTTTTAGGTAAATAGTTCAGTAGTGTTAAGTATGTTCACTTTGTTCTGCAACAAATCTCTAGAACTTTCTCATCTTGTAAAACTAAAACTCTGTAGCAATAAACATAACTCACCACTTTCCTTTCCTGGAAACCATTTTTCTTTCAGTATTTTCTGTTGGTATGAATTTGGCAACTCAGTACTTTATATAGGTGAAATCACACAGTATTTGTTTGTCTAGCTTATGCACTTAGGATAATGCCCTCAGTTCTTCCAGATTGTGACACAGGTCAGAATAACCTTCCCTTTTTAAGGCTGAATTATATATATACATATATTTTGGTTTTCTTGGTGAGATTTTTGCTATAGGGTGCATGTGCTCACCAGAGAGAGAGAGAAAGAGAGAGGAAATGAGAAATCGCCCTTCAAGGGGAATGGCCACACCATAATCCCTTCTCCATTCTCCTCTTGGGATTTTGGGCATGCATACACACATGCCTGAATTGAGATTTTTTTTTTCTTTTAAAGAATTATTGATTTATTTGTTACTATTTTTTAATTTGACCAGAGACAGAGAGAGAGAAATAGAGAAAGGGGAAGTGAAAAAGCAAGCCATCACATTTGGTATTTGAACCATGGTCCACCATATGGGAGTCTAGCACTTTAATCACCATGCCCCCTGCTGGCCCCCTGCTTGAGGTTTTTTTTGTTTTTCTTTTGGTTTTTTTTGGGGGGGGCTGATACAGTGTGTTGGGGGGGGTGTTTTTTTGGGGTTTTTTTGAGGTTTTTGTTATAGGGCTCATGCACTCACCAGGAAGACAGAGACAGAAAGCGAGAAATCACTCCCCACGGGGGATGGCCAAGCTGCAATCCCTTCTCCTCCATTTTCCTCTTGGGATCTTGGACATGCATGCACACACACGCGCCCGGCATGAGTTTAAGCCACCGGGTCCAGGACTCGATCTGCGATCAACTACATGGGAGTCCAGCGACATAGTCATTACGCTAACTGCTGGTCCCAATACAGTATACTTTATTGATGGTTCGTGACAAGGAGGGTTCCCCAGCCCCTCCCTTTCTGCAGGGGTCTGGGATGGAAACTGTCAAGGAAGGGAGCTTCTCAGTGTGGTGGGGACTGAGCGGGAACAGGGCCTCCCCAGCAGCTGAGGGCCTCTTCCCCACGCTGGGGCTGGTGATCGGAAGCTCTACTCCTTGGAGGAAATGTGCACCATGAGGTCCACTACCCTGTTGCTGTAGCCAAATTCATTGTCATACCAAGAAATGAGCTTGACAAAGTAGTCATTGAGGGCAGTGCCAGCCCAGCATTGAAGGTGGAGGAGTGGGTGTCACTGTTGAAATCACAGGAGATGACCTGGTCCTCGATGTAGCCCAGGATGCCCTTCAGGGGGCCCTGAGACGCCTGCTTCACCACCTTCTTGATGTCATCGTATTTGGCAGCTTTCTCCAGGCAACAGGTCAGGTCCACGACTGACACGTTGGGGGTGGGGACACGGTAAGCTTCCTGTTCAGCTCCAGGATGACCTTGCCCACAGACTTGGCAGCCCCCGTTAATGCTGGGATGATGTTCTGCGCAGCCGCATGCCCATCATGCCACAGCTTCCCTGAGGGGCTGTCCAGTCTGATGAGTGGCAGTGATGGCGTGGACTGTGGTCATGAGTCCCTCCACGATACAAAACTTGTCGTGATGACCTTGGCCAGCGTGGCCAAGCAGTTGGTGGTGCAGGAGGCATTGCTGACAGTCTTCAGGGAGTTACCATACTTCTCGTGGTTCACGCCAATCACGAATATGGGGGCGTCGGCAGAAGGAGCAGAGACGTTGACCCTTTTGGCCCCACCGTTCAAGTGAGTCCCAGCCTTCTCCATGGTGGTGAAGAACCGGTGGACTCCACAACATACTCAGCACCAGCATCACCCCATTTGATGTTGGCGGGATCTTGCTCTCCGAGAAGATGGTAATGGACTTCCTATTGATGATAAGCTTCCCATTCTCTGCCTTGATGGTGCCATTGAACTTGCACCATCATATCAGAACATGTAGACCACATAGTTCAAGTCAATAAAGGAGTCGTTGATGGCCACGATATCCACTTTCCAAGAGTTGAAGGCAGCCCTGGTGACCGGGTGCCCAATACGGCCAAATCCGTTTACTCCGACCTTCACCGTTATGTCTCTGGGACGCGGCTGCACTGCACAGGAAGACGCGGCTGTCTGTCAAACAGGGAGGAGTAGAGAGCCCCCTTGCTTGAGTTTTGAGCTGCTGTGTCCAGGACTTGAACCACAGTCAACTGTGGGAGTCCAGCGACATAATAGCTATGCCATCTGCTGTTCCCAAGGCTAAATTATATTCTGTTACGTGAATATTCCACATTTTGGTTATCCATTCATCTGTGATGGAAACATGGGTTGCTTCTACTTTTTGATTATCTTGAGTACTGCTGCTCTAAACATGGGTATGCAAATCTCTTAGGATGCCAGCCCCATAGTCTACTGGTTAAGAGAACTGGATTCCATTTGGCTGACTGTCTTTCCTGGCCTCAGCTGTTTAAAAAATAATGCTGTGTGTGCAACCCAAATCCCAACGGGTGGAAGAGAGAAGAGGAGGGATTGTGGCATGACCAAACCCTATTGTGTGGAGCTTTCTCCTTCTCCCTCCCTCTTCCTCTCACCAGCACACATGCTCTCTGACAATTTAAGAATATATATATATATATATACTGGGGCCAGCAGATGGCGTAGCGGTTAGTCGCAGTATTCCCACATCGGTGACCATGATTCGATCCCAGACTTAGTGGCTTGAAACTCATGCCAGGCGCATGTGCATACGTGCCTAAGATCCTGGAAGGAAAATGGAGGAGAAGGGATTGCGGCCTGGCTATCCCCCTTGGGGGTGATTTCTCACTTTCTCTCTCACTGTCTCTGTCTGTCTCCCTGGTGAGCGCATGAACCCTAACGCAAAAACCACTACCACAAAAAAAAAAGTTTTTGAGAGCTGCTTTCAGTTAGTTGTATATCTAAAAGGGGAATTACCAGATCATATATTAATAATTTTTCTTTAAATTTTTGAGAACCCAGCATACCATTTTTCATAGTGGTTACACCATTTTTGTTATTATTGCCCAGGTGACCTCAAACTTGTGATCCTCTTTTCTCAGCCTCCTGTGTAACTGAGATTGTAGGTACATATTACCACACCCAGTTTTGGCTACACCGTTAATATTTTACATTCTCAACCAGCAATGCACAGAGCTTCCCATTTTTCCATATCTTTGCCAATATAAGTGTTTCCTGGTTTTGTTTTTTTTTTTTTTTTTTTTTAAACTTGCTAGAGTGTGTGTTTGCTTACTGGGGAGGGAGGTGAGAAAGTATTCCCCATGGACCCCCCCATGGTGGGGGGTGATCATGCTGCAATCTCTTCACTGATTTTAAGCACACATGCAAATATGCATTATGTGGGGTTTTTTTTTTTTCTTTTTTCTTTTTTTTAAGAGGTTTTTGCCTTAGAGTGCATGCATTCACCAGAAAGAGACAGACAGACAGGCAGACAGACACAGTGAGAGGGAAAAGTGAGACATCACCTCCCAGGAGGAATGGCCATGCTGCAATCCCTTCTTCTCTTGGGATCTTGGGCACTCACACACATGCTTCTAGCGTGATTTTGAAGCTACCAGGTCCAGGACTGGAACTGCGGTCTGCTATGTGGGAGTCCAGGACATAACCTTTACACCGTCAGCTGCTCCCCCCTGTGTGTTTTTCAGGCCACCAGGTTCAGAACTTGAACTGTATAGTCAGACATGTGAGATCCAGCTCCCTTAACTGCTGTGCCACTGGTTGGCTCCATTTCCTGTTTTTAGATAATAGCCATCCTAATACATGTGATGGCATCTCATTGTGACTCTGATTTGCATTTCCCTAAAGAGTAGTGATGTTTAACATGATTTTATCTACTTATTAACCATTTGTATATTTTCTTTAGAGAATTACCTATTTAAATTATTTTTAAATCTCTGTTTTCAGCTCAGATTTCTTTTATCCAAGATATTGGAAGGCTTCCTTTAAAGCGACACTTTGGAAGGTAAGCTGTTTGTGTAAATTTCCAGACTTGTTCTGAATATGTTTAGTTGTATAACTGAACTTTAAAGTGACACCTTGGAATGTAAGCTGATCATGTAAATTTTTTTGTAATATCTAAGAAATACAAAATCGTACCCAGTGATTTAAAACAATATAATTGCAGTGTAATCCTAATTTTATTAAATATAACAGCATATATTTACCTGCTCCCAAGGGAGTATATGGGTTCACAGTCATTACACTCATAGTATAATTCATGGAATCCTCCCTTTTGGTTATTATTGATGCCTGCTCTTGAATTTGACAGATTGAAAATGGAAGCCCTGACTGACAGGGAGCATGGAATCATAGATCTCGACAGTGGAGATGAAACCCAGCTTAATGGACAACAGCCTGTAGAGGCAGCTGTGGGTGAACCCACACAGACCACTGAAGCGGACACCTGGTCTCTTCCTTTGAGTCAGAACAGTGGAAGTGAGCTGCTCCCCAGCCAGCCTCACGCCTTTTCATCCCAGGGAGACACAGAAGATGACGACATGGTGATAGAAGACTATGAGAGTGATGAGACAGAGAGCGCAGCTGCCAATCAGATCGCTGTGTGACAGATTCACTTAAGTTTCACTCAGTAATACTTGAATGGAGTTAATATTCTCTTCTGGTAAATTAGAAACAATTTAATTCTTCAGTCTTATAGTATTTCATCATAAGGGACTGACTCTTGGCATCTTGAAGAAAGAAGATCAAGCTTTCAAGTAATCTTATTTCCCTAGTATTTATTCAGTCTTATGAGTGGTTTAGGAAGAGAGCAGTGTGTATGAAGTGTGTTTGAATGTTTTGCCAAATATCAGAAAATGTGAAGGGATGATTCAGAATACAAAAAGTTTATGGGGGGTTGTAAATATGAATTATAAAAGTTTAGGATTCAATTATGAGTGTAAATAAACTTTGTGCCTTATTTACAGTTCATTGTCTCCAGCTTCTCAGATACAGTTTTATATGTTGTACAGTGAAATATTTTAGATACTTTTGGGAAAGTATTTACGTAATTTATATCAAGATTAAAATATTGAATTTCATTTTGTCTCTTGTCTTTTAACACTGCCTACCTAACGTGCATCTTCTACCAGGTGTCCTCAGGCATAGCACATGACCTTTTTTTTTTTAATTATTATTTTATTTAACTCTATTCAAATTTGACCAGAGTGGGAAAGAGAGGGAGAGAGTGCAGGACTCGAACTGTGGTCCACCATGTAGGGGTCCAACGTCCTTAACCACCACGCAGCCTGCCTGCCCAGCACATGACTTCTTCATACAGTATCAAAGTTTTCAAAAGACGGAGAAGGAAAGGATGGCAGCGGTTCCTCATACCTGTAATTACCTTTCCAAACCTCCGTTTTCTGTAGGAGCCCTGCGTGTGAGCTTTGCTGCTAGGTGCAAGTCGGGAAGGCACCGAGCAGTCCGGGCCCTGGACGAGAGCGGGCCCTGCAAACCGGGCGGGGCAGAGCCTGGCTGGGCCCGCCCCGGCCCCGCCCCGGGAGCCAGATCCCGGTTTCAGTGCCCCGGGCGGCGGCGTGCGCGCTCTTCCTGCTGCCGCGCAGGTGAGTGGGGCCGCAGGGGTGTGGCCACGTGATCCGGACGCGGGCGGGGTCGAGGGGGAGGCCGGCGGACCCCGGTCCAGGTGCGGACCCCGGTCCAGATGCGCAGGGCGGCGAAGTGGGCAGCTTCGGCCCCTCGGAGCTCCGGGCTTGGCCCGCGCTCGCCCCCCCGCCCCCCGGCGGAGGTTTTTTTGGGCTCTGCGGGCTCCGGGGGCGCCCCAGCGGCGGCGGACCTGGGGCTCCTGGCCCGACTGAGTTCCGGCCACTGAGGACTGAGTGGATTTTCACTCAGGAACACGAAGCCTGACGCTCGTCTGGGGTGGGTGGGGCATCGCACAGAACGAGGTTTGTGGGACCCGCGTCCAGAGGCCTACGAGGGAGACCCTAGCCAAGATGCTCAGCGCTCCTGGCAGTCGTGGGTCAGTTAAAACCCACACCCTTCCCTTACCCCCTGGAAGCCAAGAATACCAGAAATTTACTTTTTTTCATGGGCCAGACAAAACTCTGGGGCCAGGTGAAGCGGTGATCCTGTTGGTGTGAAGGTGAGCAGGCGTGGTGCCTGTGACCTGCTGGGGAACGTGATGACTGAAAAGTGTACTCAACAGTGGCGTCGGGCTGGGCCAAACAAAGACCCACTCTGCTTCATCTGGCTTCCTGAAAAACGCTGGGGATACCTGGGCGTTTTTGATGGGATAAAATACAGCTGACCATTACCTTCTAAAATCACACATCTTCCTTTTCCACAATTCTTCAAATTTATAACTTTTTGCCGTTTATTTAAGCATTGATAAAATCTGACTTGTCTCATTTCAAAGGTGAAGTAGGGATTCATTACAGTGAATCACACACTTTCACCAGTGACTTCAGTTAAGAAATGGAGTATTAGCCTGTACACATATATATCATAAATATTGAGAGGTATCGTGTAAAACTTGCTAAAGCTAGTAGTTGTGCTTTACTTTATTACTATTTTTTTTTGCCTAAGGGTACGCACTGACCAGAGGTGGGGCCAGTGGGGGAGAAAGCACCTCCCTGGGTTGTGGTCACCTGAACTCTCTTCACCATTTCTTTGGGATGGAGGAGTCTTGGGTTAGGGGTGGGCTGGCAAGCCTGCAGAACCACACTGGTGGCCATGTGGGATCGGGATCCCTTAACCATGAGGTCCTGGAGCCTGCCCTTTGTTGAGCTTTTACTTCCACACTTCTTCGGAATGTACTATGCACTTCTAAAAAAAAAATTTTTTTTGAGAGGTTTTTGCTACAGGGCGCGTGCGCTCGCCAGACAGAGAGAGACAGAAAGCGAGAAATCACCCCCCAGGGGGGGCTTGCCATGCCACAATCCCTTCTCCATTCTCCTCTTGGGATCTTGGGCATGCACTCACATGCGCCCAGCGTGAGTTTAAGCCACCGGGTCCGGGACTCGAACCGCAGTTGACTACGTGGGAGTCCAGCGACATAGCCATTACGCTGCTGGTCCCTGCACTTCTAAAGTTTAAACTTTGTCAGACATCAGAGATAAAAAAATTAAGAACAAAAAATCTGCTAATTGCTATCGTTCGTAGTGCTTTTGTTGTGAATTGGACACCATGCTGGTGCTATGACAGCTGACTGAAAGATTGTGCACCTTAGAAGACCCTGGAATTCCTTCCCGAACCTCTTTTCTGTCTCTACTGTATGCCCTTGATTTACTGTGTGAGCTCTGTGGCAGTTCTATCCCTGTTTGTTGCTGCCTCTTTGATATCACCTGGATTTCTAACATGCATCTGAAACTCTCCAGCCTGCTCTTCCTGAGGGCTAAGCTGGAACGGTGGAGAAATGAAGTATTTGCAGATAAAATGATCAGATCTCTAGGACTACTCTGAAGTAAACTCGCAGAAGGACAAAGAAGGGGGTATGGATGAAACAAGATTGGCCAAATACTGGTAATTGTTGAAGCTGGTTGATGGGTACACAAGGATTCATAATACTGTTCCTTCCATTATTTAACAATTTCTGTGATACACTTAATTTCCTTTATCACAATTTGACCTCTTTTCATGGTCTCCATGGTCCATTGGATTATTTCAGTGACCTTCTAGCCAGTCTCCATCTTAGTCCGTACTTTCTCAAGTGTACTCTCAACACGGCATCCAGAGTGAACCTCATGTCACTCTTCTACTCAAATTCTCCAATAGTTTTTTCATCTCACTCCAGTAAAAAGCAAATCCTTCATGATTCAGATGGCTTCAGTTCTACTCATTTTCACTCACTTTGCTGCTGCCACATTGGCCTCCATGCCTTAATATTTCTTGAATATGCCAGACGCTCTTGCCTCAAGGCCTTTGCATGAGCTGTTCCTTCTTCCCAGAACACTTTTCCACCTGATAACCTGCTTGGTTTCTTCTTTCACCTTCAATTCTTCTATTCTTTTTTTAAATTAATTAATTAATTAAGTTATTTTTGGGAGAGGTTTTTGGTATAGAGCACATGCGCTCATCAGAGAGACAGAGAGACAGAAAGCGAGAAATACACCCCCCTCAGGGGGATGGCCACGCCGCAATCCCTTCTCCTCTATTCTCCTCAGGATCTTGGGCACACACGCACGTGTGCCCGGCGTGGGTTTAAGCCACTTGGTCCGGGACTTGAACTGCGGTCAACTACACAGGAGTCTAGCGACATAGCCATCACACCAACTACTGGTCCCAGTAAAGGTGTTTTATCTGTGCTTTTCTGAGGGTATTTTTGAGTGACTAGATTCTCCATGGCGACAGCAAATCATCTTTAGATAATTGCTCTGGAAAGCATGATATTCGGGATCATTGCTGCCTATGTTACACCTTCAGGCAACTTTAGCTTTCAAGGGTTTTTATCTTTGAGAATTCAGTTTTTTAAAATTTAGTATCAAGTGTCAATATTTTAGAGTGAAGGAGGTAACCCTCGAAGTGACTTCCATAATTTAGGAAAGGAAGGGGTCCTCTCTTTCCTGTGCTTTTTAAAAAATCTATTCCCTTTTTTTTTTTTTTTTTAATTTGACTAGAGAGAGTGAGAGAGTGAACATGAGAAAGCAAGCTACTAGGTTTGAGACCCAAACCGTGGTCAGCCACGTGGGAGTCCAGCACCCCAACCACAATACCACTTGCCAGCTCCTCTTCCCTGTGTTTTAACAGACTCCTCAGCCATTCCAAAATAGATCTGAGTTAATGAAAATGAAAGAGTATTTGCTGACCCATCTAATTTTGATATAGTCAAACTCTTAAATATTTTGATTTAGATGTTTGAGGAAAGGACTTTTCTTGGGAGTGTGTTAGTGTTCTAAAGTTTAGTGTTAAAGTTTTATCATTTTTGTTTACTTTTTGTTGTTTATAGGACTCACATGTAAATTAGATTTATAAATGTTTCAATATGTAAAATTTAGAACTACAATTAAGTTATTTTAGTGAGAGAAAGCATAGAAGGGAAGGATGGGATGGGAAAGAAGGTGTTTTTGATGAAGTCTTACCACGTTGTGTGTCTTGATCCTCCCATCCCAGCCTCCCAGTTAGCTATGACCACAGACGCATGCCACTGCAACCTTTTCAGGTTGGACCAGGAACTGAACCTGGGCCTCACGTGCAGCCTCAGTTACCATGCAGCAATACTTTCCCACTTGCACCATCTTGAGTTGACCACATTTAAAATTTTGATAGCACTTAAATTTGCATGAAATGATGACCTCACCCTGTGTAATTTCATTGTTGCATATGTTAAATATACAGTTTTCTTTTAAAGTATTATTTTATTTAATGTTATTTATTTATTTTAAGTTGACTAGGACAGAATGAGACAGAGAAAGTGAGAAAGCAAGCTGCCATGTCCAGAACTCGAACCATGGTGGACCACGTGGGAGTCCAGCACCCCTAACCACCATACCACCTGCCGGCCCCAGAAATATACAGATTTATGGGACCAGCAGATGGTGTAATGGTTATGTTGCTGACTCCCACATTGCTGACTGTGGTTCAAGACCCAGACTTGGTGACCTGAAACTCACTCTGGGGCCCTGTGTGTGCGTGCCCAAGATCCTGAGAGGAGAATGGAGAAGGGATTGCCGTGGCCATCCCCCTGGGAGTGATTTCTCACTTTGTCTTTCTCTGTCTCTCCAGTGAGTGTACATGCCTATAGCAAAAATCTCTCTTTAAAAAAAAAAGATATACAGATTTAGTTTATCATTTTTTTAAAGAGACATTTTTGCTATAGGGCATGTGCACTTACCAGAGAGATGAAGAGACAGAAAGTGAGAAATCACCCTCCAAGGGGGAAGGCCACTCCCCAATTCCTTCTCCATTCTCCTCTCAGGGTCTTGGCACACACACATATGCACCCAGTATAAGTTTTATACTGGTCTGAGACTCAAACTACAGTAGACTATGAGGGAGTCCAGCGACATAACCATTATGCCATCTACTAGTCCCTAGTTTATCATAATAATTAGACATGATCATGTTGGACTCCTGAGTACTTTTTGCAACCAAGTGAATAAAATCAGTATCAATTAAAAGAAAACTTTTAAAGTGATCACTTTAATTTTGGCCACAGGTGTGAAAATCACAAATGTCATCTAATGATGGAAGATCCAGGAATCGGGACCGGCATTATGATGAAGTCCCACGAGACTTGCCGGGTCAGGATGGCACCATCAGAACCCTCCAGACTCTTCAGGACAGTGAGCTGGCTGTGAGCGCTGATCCTTTGCCACCACCCCCTCTCCCATTACAGCCACCATTTGGCCCAGACTTCTACTCAAGTGACACAGAGGAACCAGCCATAGCACCAGATCTCAAACCCATAAGGCGTTTCGTCCCTGACTCCTGGAAGAACTTCTTCAGAGGGAAGAAAAAAGACCCAGAATGGGAAAAGCCAGTGTCTGATATCAGATACATCTCTGATGGAGTGAAGTGTTCACCTCCAGCCTCTCCAGCAAGACCAAACCACCGTTCACCCCTCGATTCCTGCAAAGATCCTTACGGAGGGTCAGAAGGAACCTTTAATTCCCGGAAAGAGACTGATGCAATGTTTCCCCAGGATCCCTATGGCTCTCTAGGCCGACACACACAAACAGCTCGAACGTACAGTGAGAAGGTCGAGGAGTATCACCTGAAGTATTCCTACATGAAGTCGTGGGCAGGTCTGCTGAGAATTCTGGGCGTGGTGGAGCTGCTCTTGGGGGCCGGCGTCTTCGCCTGTGTCACAGCTTACATTCACAAGGACAGTGAGTGGTATAACATGTTTGGATATTCACAACCCTATGGCGTGGGAGCCATTGGCAACCTGGGCAGTGTATATGGGGGCTATTACTACAGTGGCCCCAAAACTCCCTTTATACTTGTGGTTGCTGGGTTAGCATGGGTCACTACCATTATTCTTCTGGTTCTTGGCATGTCCATGTATTACCGGACCATTCTCTTGGACTCTAACTGGTGGCCGCTAACTGAATTTGGAATCAATGTTGCCTTGTTTGTTTTGTATATGGCTGCAGCCATCGTCTACGTAAATGATACCAACCGTGGCGGACTCTGCTACTATCCATTATTCAATACGCCAATGAATGCAGGGTTCTGCCGGGTAGAAGGAGGACAGATAGCAGCGATGATCTTCCTGTTCGTCACCATGATAGTGTATCTCATTAGTGCTTTAGTTTGCCTAAAGTTGTGGAGGCATGAGGCAGCTCGGAGACATAGAGAATATATGGAACAACAGGAGGTAAGTGATCTCACAGTTCATTTGCTTTTAATTTTTTTCTGTTATTTGCTCCCTTGTTAAAAATGTCTCTGCCTTTTGGTCTGTTTTGCTCTTTCTGTCCCTTTAATGATCTCAGGTTCAAAGGTCCAAGCTCAGAAACTGATGTGCTTTGACTAGAATAACCCATGCTAGTGTTTGTTGACAACATGTGTAATGCAATGCGTTGACTGCATTATTATACCTAATGCTGAAGAAAAACACACAGCTGCTATATTTATGCAAGGAATAATAATATACACAGTAAAATGAATAGTAGACTCAATAAAATACCTTAACACATAAGTTTGAAACAATTTTGATTCTTTACTATGTTAAAATTTAAAAACCTGTAATTTTTCAGTTACAGGAAGAAAGTACCCAGATGTTATAATTTACTGTTCTCCCGTGAGTTAAGTAAAGCCAAATAACAATGTGATAACCGCATTAAATTTTTCTCAAAAGTATTTAGAGATTGGGTTGTAATGAACATACTCAGCAAACTTGTCCAATGATTTCAATATTTCATGATTATTTTGGGGAGATATGTATACCAAAATTAGAATCAAATCCCTGTATTTGGTTTTATTTCTAAGATTGAACTAATTAAATATAATAATGATAATAATAAAGACAATAAATAATAACTACCTGGGGAATATAATTATGTAAAAGCTCTATTTAAAATTATTTAGTTGAATAGTAGCAAAAATATTAGGGCATGTTCTGCTGTCTTCGTTATATCCTGAGATAAGTTGATTTTTTGCTTTCTTTTTTCTAAGGAATATATGTAGTAGAAACTTTTCTGCCATTAAAAATGTTGGTATATAACTTAAATTTTTTGGTAATTTTTTAAAAGAATTATCAATTATTTAATTCCATTTGCTATTATCACTTATCAATTTGACCAGATAGAAACAGAGAGAGAGAGAAAGGGAAAGTGAGAAAGCAAGCCACCAAGTCCGAGACTGAACCACGGTTGGTTATGTAGGAATCCAGCACCTTTAACCACCACACCACCTGCCGGCCCCAACCATACCATGAATCTTTTTCATTTTAGCATTTTTCCCAAGTCTTCTTAGATACTAGACAATTGCACATGTGTATTCTGGGCAAAACTATAAATAAAAATTAAATCCTCGGGACCAGCAGGTGGCATGGTGGTTAAGGTGCTGGGCGCTCCCACATGGCCGACCACGGTTCGAGTCCCGGACCTGGTGGCTTCCTTTCTCACTTTCCCTCTCTCTCTTTCCTTCTCTGTGTCTCTCTCTGGTCAAATTAAAATAAATGAGTGAATAAATAAAATTAAATAAATAATTTTTAAAAATTAAATCCTCTCCTTATGATAGCCCACATTGATATGTGTATTTTATTTTGAATATTTTCTCTAAATCTTATACATAACAACAAAAATTGTTTTATAACAAGTACCAATGTCTTATACTAAGAATCTCAACATATTTCAGTGTGATCCGTACTCTGTTGTCACAGATATATTTATCTTACTGAAATTCTATGTAGACTGAAGTAATTTCTAAAAATCTATTTCAGCACTTTTAGCATTTTTAAAAAATATTTATTTATTTATTTTGAGAGTTTTTTGTTATAGGACACATGTGCTTGCCAGAAAGACTGAGACAGAGAAACAGAAAGCGAGAAATTACCTCCCCCCCAGCCAAGGGGGATGGTGACGCTGCAATCCCTTCTCCTCCATTCTCTTCTCTTGGCATACACACAAACGCGCATGTACGCATGCCTGGCATGAGTTTAAGCCACCGGGTCCAGGACTCGAACTGCGGTCAACTACATGGGAGTCCAGCAACATAGCCATTACACTAACTGCTGGTTCCCGCTTATTTTACATTCATTCACTGAACATCATCACAGCATACAAAATGTGATTTCCCATCCAGTATACACTGTAAAGTGGCTTAATCATATATGTTCACATCAACAAATAATTTTCCATTTCTTGTTTTGTATATATGTATGTGTGTGTGTGTGTGTGTGTGTGTGTGTGTGTGTGTTCCCTATTTCTCACCCTCTGCCATCTCACCCTCCTTTCACACTGTCTCTGGTATCTGTAGTTGCTTTTCATTCCTTTTTTCCCCTCCACATATTATTATTCACAAAATATCTTAATTAATCTCGATCTTTTCAATAGCAAGTTCAGCTGATATATACGTATCTGTGAACATATGTCTGACTTTAGGCATGAAATTCAGTGAGTAGAATGAATATACTATAAAGTAGCACCAACTGAAGTTATATAGCTTGCTATGGTCATTAAATAGGTATTTTTTAATATGTTTTTAACTTCAAGAAAAGCAGTTTTAGCTTTAATAAATCAAAATTTTTAAATATTAAGAGAAATTTGTTTAAGACTCAAAGTCAGGAAACAGGTTAGGATTCTGTTCAAATAGTAGGTAAAGAAGACAAAGATCCTTAAATCTGTAAATACAAAACATAGGAGAAAATCAGTAATGTTTTAGTCAAAAGTCATAACATTCTATTTCACCAGTTCAGTCTCATGTACTTAATCTATTATCTGTTGTGGTCTGATTTTTCTGTTTAAATTCTGGAACATAACATTCAAATCTGGACTTATCCCTATCATTAAGATGCCCATTTTCTTAGTTGTTTTTAAACTTACTTCTGTGTGTCTGTATTTAGTTTTCCTGGTGTAGCACTTTTTTTAGAACTTCTAGAAGAGCTGGTCTGGTGTTGGTAAATTCTTTCAGGGTTTGTTTATCTGAGAATGGTCTTGTCTTTTCTTCCCTAATGAAGGATAATCTTGCCGGGTATAGTATTCTTAGCTGAAATTGTTTTTCACTTAACACTTTGAATATGTTTTCCCATTCTTTCCTTGTTTGCATTGTTTTCGATGAGAGGCCTGCTATTAGCCTGATGGGATATCCTTTGTACATAACTTGACGTTTCTCTCTTGCCAATTTTAGTATCTTGCCTCTGTCTGTGGTTCTGTGGTTTTTGGTCAGTCTGGCTATAATGTGTCTTGGAGAACATCTTCAGTTAATTCTAGGTGGGGTCCTTTGTATTTCTTGGGTCTGGATCTTTGAATGCTTCTCTAGGTTTGGAAAGTTTTCTTCTAGAATTTCATGGAATAGATTATTAATGCCCTTATTAGTCTCTTCTGGGGTACCGATTATCCAGATATTTGGGCGTTTAATGGTATCTAATATTTCTTGAATATTATCCTCATTTTGGGGGGCTATTTTCTCAGTCTTCGTGGTGAATTTTTCTATGGCAGAGATTCTGTCTTCTACATCTAAGATTCGATCTTCTGTATGATCTAATCTGTTTTTAATACTTTCAAGGAAGATTTTGATTTTCTATATTACAGACTTTATCTCTAACAATTCCGTTGGATTCCTTTTTCATGGTGTTTATTTCCTCTTTAAGATAGTGTAAGAACTTCCTTACCTCCCGGAACTCATTGTCTCTTTTCTCCTGAATCTTCTAGAGTTTATTGTCTTCTCTTGCATCTCTGTTAGCTGTGTCACTATGAATATTCTAAATTCTTTATCAGACATTTTCATGAGTTCCATTGTACTGTCTGCAAATGAAGAGGGGTTGTTCTTTTCCCTTGGGGGTGAAGTATTTTCTTGGTTTCTCATATTTCTTGTGCCTCTGCAGTGATTTCTGGTCATCTAATGGGTTATACATTTTTTCCTAATTTCTTGAAGTTCAATGTGAGGTTCAGAGGCGTGCAGGAGAAGGAGATCTGCAATCTCTCTGCAGTTCCATTTTCCTCCTTTTGTGCAGCAGATTCAGTGAGAATTGAGGAATATTTTGACCCTAATAGTATTCAGATGTTTGGCTACTGTACACTTAGACCTGTCTAGACACTCAGTGCATGGAGGCTGAGCAGTAAAGTAATGAAGGTAACAGAAAAAGGAAAACAAAACAAAAGAAAGAAAAAAAAGAAAATTTTTTTTTATTATTTACTTATTTTTTAAAAAGCAAAATATGAAAACTGCACGGCCTGCAAACATGCCAGCAAAAGCAATAGTTCATAGCTGAAATTCAGCAGTCTTCTCCAAAGGCCTGTACTTTTGCCTTTCCTAAATGGCAGAGGGAAAGGTGAGAACTAGCAAGATAAAAGAGGATCTGAAAGCCAAGAAAATGAAAATTAAAGAAAAAAGAAAAATAAATAAATTAAAGAACAGAGACAGAGAGAAGGTTACAGGGGTTGCCCTATCACTCTAGAATGGGGTCTGGAGGGTGAAGTCTCAGAAAAAAACTTCGTTATCTTCACTAGTCTTAGTCCTTTAAAGCAGTAGTTTACAGCTCAAATGCAACAGTCTTCTCTCTAAATTAAATTTCTATGTATAAAGGTATTTTTAAACAATTATTTAATTTTATTCATTACTATTAGTATTTTAAATTTGACCAACTGCTGGTCCCCATTCATTTATTTTGAATTTGACCAGAGAGAGACACACACAGAGGGGGGAGAGAGAGAGAGAGAAAAAAAGAGAGAGAGTGAGAGAGAGAGAGAGAACAAGCCACCAGGTCCAGGACTTGAACCATGATCAGCCATGTGGGAGTGTCCAGCTCCTTAGCCACTACATCACCCACTGGTCCCTCTGGTCAAATTTTTTAAAATTTAGAAAGAAAGAAAGAAAGAGAGAGAGAAAAAGTAAGTAAGTAAATAAGTTAGTTAAATTTAAAATAATAATAATAATTTTTAAAAACCTACACAAAAGAGTAAGGGGAACATTTGGCAACTAGCGTGTCAACTTTTGTAACCTGGGTATAAATGCAAATGGATGAAATATTTGCAAAGTATCTTGATGCACCTTTGAAAATCATTTTAATTCTTTTTGTTCCAGATAAATGAGTCATCATTGTCATCGAAAAGGAAAATGGTAAGAATAGAGTTTTCTTCACAGCATATTTTATCTCTAATTTTGCCAAATGCTGTTCTCTCATGACTGTCTACCTGGTAGAATCATTGCCTGTGAAAGTGTGGCTGCTTCACTGAGTTCATATTGGGACCTTTAGCTTTTGTCTAATTCTAAAAGAACCAAATTAGAAAATCCTAATAGCTCCTTTTACTTTTGTTAGGGGAAAGTTTATGCAAGTAAACACAGTTGGTTTTCCTTTTATATTTAAGATTTAACTTTTCTTTTTTATTGATTAGAGATTTTTGCCTTAGGACATGTGCACTCCCCAGAGAGACAGACAGACACAGTGAGAGGAAAAGTGAGAAATTCACCCCCAGGAGGTATGGCCACACTGCCATCCCTTCTCCTCCATTCTCCACCTGGGGTCTTAGGCACACACGCCTACATGTCCAGCATGATTTTCAAGCAACTGGGACCAGAACTGGAACTGCAATTGGTCATATGGGAGTCCATGACATAACTACTTCTCCATCTGCTGGGCCCAAGATTTAACTTTTTAAAAATGAAATTGATTGGAGCCAGCAGGTGGCATGGTGATTAAGGGCACTGGACTCCCACAGGGTCGACTATGGTTCAAGTCCTGCACTTGGCAGCTTATTTTCTCACTTTCTCTCTCCCCCCACCCCTCTTTCTCTGTTCCTCTCTAGTCAAATTAAAATAAGTAAATAAATAAAGTAAAATAATTACTTGTTTTTAAATGTAATTAATTGCTCCAAACTCTTCATTTCTTTTTGAAGTTCTTTGCTCTTACTGTCTTTCCTTATCTTGCTTTTGGATGCCAATTTTTGTAATGTAATAGGAAATTCATATTTCCCAGTTTACAGGACACAGTAGGCAAGGTATTTAACCTTTCAATGACATCATTTCTTCTTCTGTAAAACTGGAATATTAATAATTTCTGTCTCATAAGGGTTTCTCACTGATAGGTTTCAGTGAAATGCTATCATTATTATTACTTGCATATATGGCATAACTTAAAGTATTTTAATAATTATAATTTTATCATTTAAAAATTATTTTTTAAAATATCAGACACTATTCATATCTAAGAAGATAAGACTAAAGCCTTTGGATTTGTTCATTTCTCTGAAAAGAACTTTATGTCATTGATTCAAAATTTGAGAGTCTGTAATACAAGTCACTCATTTCTATACCCCAGCTCCCCATTCTGCCTGGGTAGGCCAGTGTTATCAGTGTCTTGGGTTTTCTTTTAGAAATGTAATATAAGGGGCTGCAGGTAGCAGAGTCGTTAAGGTGCTAGACTTCTATATGGCCAACCACAGTTAAAATCCCAGATCTGGCAGCTTGCTTTCTCACTTTCTCTCTCGCACACTCATCATCATTATTATTATTATTATTATTTTTGAGAGGTTTTCACTATACGGCTCATGTGCTCGCCAGAAAGACAGAGAGAGACAGAGAGACAGAAAGTGAGAAATCACCCCACAGGGGGATGACCACGCCGCAGTCCCTTCTCCTCCGTTCTCCTCTCAGGATCTTGGGCACGCACGCACATGCGCCCAGCATGAGTTTTAAGCCACCGGGTCCAGGACGCGAACCGCAGTCAACTACGTGGGAGTCCAGTGACATAGCCATTATGCTAACTGCTGGTCCCCAAAGATCATTCTCTTTTTAAAAAATTTTTCCCAGGTCTGGGACTCAAACCACAGTTGGCCATGTGAGAGTCTAGTGCCCTTAACTACCATACCACCTGCCAGCCCCCCAAAATAAATAAATCTTTAAAATTTTTTTCTTTATTTATGATAGTGTATATACATACATGTGCATGAGACGAGAGAGAGGAGCACTCTCCAAAGGACCTAGTTGTATGGTGATCTCTTTCCTCCAGTCCATCAGATCCTGGACACAGGCACATGTACCTAGCATAATTTGGGCTCACTGGGCTGGGGATTCAAAGCATGGTCACCATGTGGGATCCACCTTTTCTTGAGCATAACCACTGTACCACGGAGTTGGCCCTAACATCCTTTAAAGGCCTCTACTTGGGAGATGCATCACTGTGGATCAACATATCTAGGTTTGTCCTAGAGGGATACTGTCATGACTTAATAGATAAATAGCTATTGGATTTACAGAGAAACCTGCTTGAAAAGGTCAGGACCTCGAGCTTTTCACTGGGTATGATTTCACCACAGCAGGACAGAATTGGCCGACTAACATATGAGAGGCAGTGGCATGTGGGGAGGAGGAGATGAACTTTGGAATCAGAAAAATCGGAAATCAAGTACTCGGGCAACTGCTTATGAGCTCTGAGATACTGGAGACAGTGCCTTTCTTTTTGAACTTCAGCTTCTTGTTTGTACTATATACTAGGCTGTCCGTTTTTATTTTGTACTTTAATAAATACTTTTTAAAAGCAAGATCACTTTTTAAATATTTATTTTATTTGTGGTTATTATTTTTTTTAATTTGACGAGAGAAGAGGGAGGGAAAGTGAGAGAGAAAGCCACCAGGTCTGAGACTCAAATCGTGGTCGGCCATGTGGGGAGTCCAACACCTTAACCACCATGCCACCTGCCGGCCCCAAAGCAAAATCATTTTTAAAATAAATCATGTACAGCTATAAAATAAGATTAAATAGAGATAGCAACAAACCTAATAAAGCCCTAAGTGCTAAGCGGGCTTTCTTTTTCAAGAGAGAAAAGCCAAAATCTAACCTAGGCATCGAGGGCAATGAGCTCAGGGGCATCATTGCAGTATATTCTCAAAGGGAGAGAGAAAACCCACAAGTGGACAGATACATGCTGTAATGTGTATCGAGCGCCCCCAGTTCTAACTTGACAGGATATTTTTTTAGCCTATTTTTAATTTGAAGTCTAATAATTATTTTCACAGCATTACTTATATCATTGCTTAATTGTTTTCACTTATATCACAATAAAGTATTCTGATATTTGTTAACAAGACTAGTTTTTTCTAGAAGCTGAAAAGGTCAAATTACATGGCTTTGGGCCATTCCCTCCCTTCCCTTTGATGTCTTTGTGATCAGTTTTTGTTGTTGTTGTTGTTGTTTAGGTTTTGCCTTAAGTCAGGACAGACTGGACAGAGAGAGGGAAAGTGAAAAATCACTCCCCAGGGTGGATGCTCCTCACCACCGCAATTGCTTCTCTTCCATTCTCCTCTTAGATTTTGGGCACACACACACATACACCCGGTGTGACTTTCAAGCCATCAGGTCTGGGACTTGAACCATGGTCAGTCCTCTGGGAGTCCAGTGCCTTAACCACCATGCCCCCTGCCAGCTTCCAGGATCATTATTAAGAGTGCTCTGTTCAGGCTGGAGCCGAGTGCATTCTTTCCATGAAAGAAAGTCTAAGAAGGTTTTAATTTTTTATCTCATGCCCAGTTTGATTTCTTCCCCTATAGAGTTTTCCAAGTCAAGAAGTATAGAAGAAAATGTTAAGATCAGAGCCAGCCCCATCGCATAGTAGTTAAAGGAGCCAGATCCCACATGGCCTACCATGGTTTGATTCTCAGCCCTATTAGCTTAAAAAGCACATCAGCATTTGTGCTTGCATGCCCAAAATCCTGATGGGAAGGAAAAATGGAGGGAAAAGGTTTGCAGCATTACTGTGACCCACAGGGGATATGCTTTCTCTCTCTTTCTCTCTTATGAGTGCATGTACCCTTTGGAAAGAAAAAAGAAAGATTTTTAAAAGTCAAAACCATAAAAAGTGTTGGGACCAGCAGTTAGCGTAATGGCTATGTTACTGGACTCCCATGTAGTCGAATGCGGTTCTCATCCTGGACCCAGTGGCTTAAAACTCACGCCGGGCACGTGTGTGTGTGTGCGTGCCCAAGATCCTGAGAACAGAACGGAGAAGAAGGGATTGCGGCATGGCCATCCCCCCTGGGGGGTGATTTCTCGCTTTCTGTCTCTCTGTCTCTCTCTGGCGGGCTGGCAAGCGCACATACCCTATAGTAAAAACCTCTCAAAAAAAAAAACATAAAAAATGTATATATATATTTTGGGGGGGGCGGTTCTTGCTATAGGGTGCATGTGCTCTCTGGAGAGACAGACAGAAAGTGAGAAATCACCCCCCCAGAGGGGATGGCCATGGTGAATCCTTTCTCCTCCATTCTTCTCATACGATTTCAGGCACAAACACACATGTGCTTGGTGTGAGTTTCAAGCCTCTGAGTCTGGGACTTGAACCGCAGTCAGCCATGTGGTGTAACATAACCATTACACCATCTGCTGTTCCTCACAAAAATATTTTAAATTTAAAGCAAACAAAATAATCTGCATGGAAATATTCTGATTTCTTAAAATCCTCCCCCTTTTAAAAATTTCTTTCTTTCTTTCTTTTTTTATTGCTAGGCGGCACATGCTTTAGCCAGAGAGAGAGGAAAGGCACTCCCCCAATGGAGTGTGGTCACGCTGAAATCCCTTCTCCATTTCTCCATCCTGTTGAGATTTTGGTCTCACACACCTGGCATGTTTTTCAAGCCACTGCTGCTGGGATCTGAGCTGTGGTCAGCCATGTGGGATCCAGTTCCCTTAACCACTGGGCTTAAAATGCTCTTTTTATAATAAAAAGTAAATCTTGGAATTAGGGATGGGCAAGTAAAGAAGATAAATAGGTTTTTTTCTTGAAAAACTTTTCCTAGAAAAAAAATGAATTATGGCCTTTCCTGCCCACTGTGACTACCTGGACAGAATTCATGACTGACCAGGAAATCTGAGAATAGACACCTGGGACTGCTGCTGAGGATTTCAGGCCCGTGGGAGGATCTTCTCCACAGCAGCCTCCTCAGCCAGCCTGCTGAGAACTGGTCTGTTAATTAGCTGCTGACGAGAGATGCCGTGATACAGAAATCCATTTATCCCAGCCAGAAAAGTACCTCTTAATGTTTAATGCCATATTATCAAGATTAAACCATATGAGAATTTAGTAGGCTGAAGAAATGGTATGTAGCCAGCAGAACAGCAGAATAAATACTAACCTTAAAACCATTCCCTCAAACTCTTTTTTTTTTAGAGGTTTTTTGCTATAGGGCACATGCGCCCACCCGACAGAGAGAGACAGAGAGACAGAAAGCGAGAAATCACCCCCCAGGGGGGATGACCACGCCGCAATCCCTTCTCCTCCATTCTCCTCTCGGGATCTTGGGAACGCAGGCACACGCACCTGGTGTGAGTTTAAGCCACGGGTCCAGGACGTGAACCGCGGTCGACTACATGGGAGTCCAGCGACATAGGCCATTACGCTAACTGCTGGTCCCAGACTCTCTTGCTTAATCTCGTCTCCTGAGGGAATTCTGCTCTGCCCTTCCACCCCCCACTTTGGGACCCAGGGACTAGGCATGCCTGCTGCATCTGCTTCCCCTTTAACCACTGCTGCAGGTCCAGAGCTGCTTCTTTTCCTAATTTTCCCCTAGGGCAGTTTAGCAGCCTTCACCTCTAATTTAAGCCATGGGGTGTTCTCTTGGGTGAGTTAAGAACTGGTGGCTTTTAGAAGGAGCTAATGTTAAACCTCAAAGCCAGTCTCTGAGATAGGGAAATCAAGATACAAAGGATTTTAAAAGCTGCTTGGCAAGATAAAGAGCAAGGTTCTAAATCCTGTTTTATATGTTGTTTATAATGAAGTAGGAGCCATGCCAAGCCATTCTTAGTTCAGCAAGCATTTCTTGAAGGCTTAAGGGATCAATCAATAGAGGGGAGAGAGGTTGCTATGGAAAAGAAGAGTCATGTTCCCAAGCAGTCTTTTCTTTTTATAGAGATTTTTGCAATAAGCCACGTTCACTCATCAGAGAGACAGAAAGCCCATAAATCATGCCTCAAGGGGGATGGCCATGCTGCAATCCCTTCTCCTCCATTCTCCTCTCAGGGTCTTGGGCACGTGCACACGCACCCAGTGTGAATTTTAAGCCACTTGGTCTGGAATGCAGATCTTACATGGGAGTCCAGCAACATAACTATTACACCATCCACTGGTCCCCCTAGGCCCAGTCTTGCTTTGCTCAAGCAGTACAGCATTGCTTGCGCTGTCCATCACAAATGCACAGGCAGAGCAGTACCAGAAGTTCAGAGAACTTTAGGATATGCATGATACACGTATAAGTAAGCAAGTTTCCTCATGTTCATTTTTAAAAGAATTATTTAATTTTACTCATTTATTTACTTATTTATTTGAATTTGATCAGAGAGGGACAGAGTGAAGAGAGAGAGGGAAAGTGAGAAAGCAAGCCTCCAGGCCTGTGACTCACACTGCAGTCAGCCATGTAGAAGTCCAGCGCCCTTAACTACCACACCACCTGCCGGCCCCCCTCATGTTCATTTGAAGTATCAATTACCCAACCCATTCTGGGTTTTGATTGTGTCTTTACTGCTTAATAGTAGTATGATCTTGGAGAATACCTCTGAACCTCACTTCTTTATGTATAAAATGAAAATCCCTCAGGCCAGTAGGTGGCATGAAGGTTCAAGAGGCTGGATCCCACATAGCTAACTTTATGGTTAGAGTCCCAGACCCAGCAGCTTGAAAATCATGCCAGGCATGTGTGTGTGCATGCCCACCCACCCAAAATGCCTAGAGGAGAATAGAGGAGAAGGGATTTCCATGTGGCCATCCTTCTAGGGAGTGATTCTTTCTGTCTCTCTCCAGTGAGTACGTGCACCCGGTAGCAAAAGGAGGAAGGAAGGACAGAAGGAAGGAAATGAACCAGGAAACCTCTTTTTTGGCATCTACCAGCCTCACCAATTTGGCTGGTGTTCTGGACCCTGTCCAGTGGAGACCCTGAATAGTCTTTCCCCAGCCTCAAAGCCAAGTATCCATCTTTGCCTGCCTGCTCTAGTGGGCTCCTGCTGAGTCTTCCAATCCTACTTCCCTTCTGTAGGCTATCTTAGTTTTGAAAGCCATCTGCCCCTGGGTTCTTCCTCTGAACCGTTTCATCTTATGTTCAATTTCTTTCTTTTGAATACATCCATCTTTCTTCTGTCCTTTTAAATTGATTAATTAATTTTATTTATTTATTTTTAGAGATCTTTGCCATAGAGCACATGCCCTTGCTGGAGAGACAGAAAGAGACAAAAAGTGAGAAATCACACCCTCCCCGCCCCCCACCCCCCGGGGAGACGGCCATGCCACAATCCCTTCTCCATTCTCCTCTCAGGATTTTGGGTATACACACACATGTGCCCGGTGTGAGTTTAAACTGTCAGGTCTAGGACTTGAACTGTGGTTGACTTATATGACAGTTCAGCAACGTAACCATTACACCATCTGCTGGTCCCGCTTCATTTAAAACAAACAAACAAACAAACAAACAAAAACTATAAAGGCCTTCAGAGTGCTCTGATGTATGAATTAGAGTATTGTAAACCACTGTCTCCTGTTCAGGATTCTCATAGACTTTTTTAGGGAATAACAAATTAACACTCTGGCAAATTAAAGACACCCACTGCCTTTTTTCCTGCTGTTCCAGAAATGTCTTCTTTACGTTTTTTTCTTTTAGAGAGGTTTTTGCTATGGGGTATATGCGCTTGCCAGAAAGACTGAGACAGAGAGACAGAAAGTGAGAAATCACTCCCCAGGGGGAATGGGATTGAGGCGTGGCCATCCCCCCTGGGGGGTGATTTCTCGCTTTCTGTCTCTCTTGTCTCTCTCTGTCTTTCTGGCGAGCACACGTGCCCTATAGCAAAAACCTCTCCAAAAAAGAAAGAAAAGAAAAAAAAACTTTATGAAGTGAAATGTTAATTACTGTTTATACTTTTCTTCTGCTCCCCTCCCTGTTTTCTTTTAAAAATAAATTCAGGGCAAGCCCTGTGGCCTGTTGGTTATAGGAGCTGGATCCCACATGACTGACCCCACAATTGAGATCCTATCACTGGAGGCTTGAAAAATATGCTGGGCTTGTGTAAATGTGTGTCCGAAATCCCGAGAGGAGAGAGAGATGGAAGAGACAGATGCCACAAAGAAATAATGCCCCACGGGGGATGCTTTCTCCCTCTTCTGCCCTCTGCCTCTCTGGCGAGCACATGGGCCCTCTGACCCTCCAAAAAAATGTTTGTCATGGGTTTTTTTCTGCTTCTGCTTTAAATAAATTCTCTTTTTCTCTCTACCTGCAGTGTGAAATGGCTCCCAGTGGCGATAAACAAAGAGCCCCTGAAGTTAATTTCAAGGAATCGAGAACAACACACATGAAACCTGAACTCTTGAGTGGACACATTCCTCCAGGCCACATTCCTAAACCCATCGTGATGCCCGACTATGTGGCGTGAGTAGGAGTCCAGAGGTCCCATTTGGGCCTTCTGTTTTCTGGTTTGTTTCCAAGTTAATGCTCGCTGCTTAAAATCATTCTGCGGACACTTGCCTGTTCTGTGACAGGTAACACGTTGACCTGCAGGTCAGGGTGGTCAGTGAGGAAGCAGCTAGGATGACTTCCCAACAGCCTCTTGCAGTGAAAACATTACACCTTTGGTTTATGTTTTGCCTCAGAAAATACCCTGTGATTCACACGGACGATGAGCGAGAACGCTACAAAGCTGTGTTCCAAGACCAGTTTTCGGAGTACAAAGAGCTGTCCTCAGAAGTGCAGGCCATCTTAAGGAAGCTCGATGAGCTGGATGAGGTGATGAGCAGACTGCCGCGTCATTCGGAAAACCGGCAGGTCAGTGTCTGCGGCTGCCGAAGGAGCTCGGACCCAGGGCCACATAAATCCAATCTTTTTTTTAAAAAAATTATTACTTAATTTTATTTACGATTTATTTATTTATTTTTAATTTAACCAGAGAAACAGAGAGAGAGAGGTAGGGAGAGTGAGAAAGCAAGCCACCAAGTCCAGGACTTAAACTATGGTTGGCCATGTGGGAGTCTAGCACCCTAACCAGCATACCACCTTTTGGCCCCTAAATCTGACCTTTGAACAGTCTATAATCTGCATCCACTGGCTGTGTCTAGGAAAGCATTTGAGATCTCCCAGGAGATTGACTAGTCAAGATTACAGTTCTAATACATACCTTCATGTTTTTTCCTTGATTATTAAATAGTATATTATCAATATTGTCCCACTTAAGTAAAATATACATTTGCCTAAGATCCGCACTGAGTCAGTAAGGGTTCCAAAGGAAACAGATGGCACAGGCAAACAAAGAGAATGCCAAGAGGGTTTGTTCACAAAGGGGAGTGTGGGGCGTGAGGAGCCTCCAGGGGCAGTATATTTCCTGGCGAAGCCAGAGTGAAGCAGCTACCACCAGGCCTAAAAGATGAAAGCTTGGTGGTTGGGGGCTGGACAGAGGTGAACTGTAGCACTCTTCAAGGGCTGATCCTCATGGTGGAGTTCAGGTCCATGCTCCAGAGACCTCCCAGAGTGTACCAGGCACACAGGGGCCCATGATCTGGGGCTGGTTGAGGTTGGAGATGGGTTATAACAGGACCTTTACGAAGGCAGTGCCAACTCTGCCTTTCCCTCCCTCTTTGTTTCTCTCACTTGAAACAAATAAACAAACAAACTTGGAATAAAGAAAGCACGGTGGGTAAGAGTGGAGAGTGGACCTGAGGCTGCAAACGTGAGCTACTGCACACTTACTTCAGACTGATGACCATGACTGTGACAGAGAGGAAAACCAAGAGACCACAGGATAGTCATGTAGGACTTAAACTTCTTCTTTCATGTACTGTTTTTTCTCTTCCCATATTTTTTTACTTTTTATAAATTTGAAATAGGGAATGCCTCATAATCAGCATTTTAAAAAATCAGATGTAAATTTTTCTAATTGAGGTAAAGTTCACACACCATAAGTCCACCCTTTTTTTGTTTTTTTTTTTTGAGAGGTTTTTGCTATAGGGGGTGTGCGTTCGCCAGAAAGACAGAGAGAGACAGACAAGACGCAAGAAATCACTCCCTAGGGGGGATGGCCATACCACAGTCCCTTCTCCTCCATTCTCCTCTTGGGATCTTAGGCACGCACGCACATGGACCCAGGGTGAGTTTTAAGCCACTGGGTCTTGGACTTGAACCATGGTTGACTACATGGGAATCCAGTGACATAGCCATTATGCTAAATGCTGGTCCCAGTCCACCCTTTTTAAAAAAATTATTTAGTTTATTTTATTTGTTATTATTTTTCATTTGACCAGAGAGAGAAAGGGAAAGTAAAAAAGCAAGCCGCCATGTCCAGGACTTGAACTGTGGTCGCCCTTGTGGGAGTCTAGCACCTTAACCATTGCGCCACCTGCTGGCCCCAAGTCTACCTTTTTTTTTTTTTTTAAGTCTACCCTTTTTAAAAGTATGCATTTCAGTGGTTTTTAGCATACTCACAAAGTTATGCAACCATCACTGCTATCTAATTCCAAAACATTTTCATCACCTCAAAAAGAAATCCAATACCCACATGCAGTTATTCCCCATTCCTGCATTTCTTTACCCATTGACAACCACAAAACTACTGTTTGCATGGATTTGCCTATTTTGAATGTTTCATAAAAATGCAATAATAAGGGCCAGCCAGGTGGTGGTGTAGTTAAGGCAGCTGGATCCCACATGGCCAATTGCTCAGTTAGAGTCCCGGACCTGGTTGCTTTAAAAACATGCCAGGCACTTGTGTATGTGTGCCCAAAATCCTGAGAGGAGAATGGGGAAGGGATTGCAGTATGGTCATCTCCCTGAGGGATACTTTCTCATTTTCTCTCTTTCTCGTCTCTCTCTCTCCTGCAAGAGCATGTACCCTGTAATGCAATGATAAAATATATGATCTGTTGTATCTGGCTTCTTTCACTTAGCATAATGTTTTCAAGGTTTATCTCTCTATTTTTTTAAGAATTATTTTATTGAAATTTATTTATTTATTTATCTATTTATTTATTTAAATTTGACCAGAAAGGAAAGTGTAAGAGAGAAAGAGAGAAAAAGTGAGAAAGCAAGCTGCCAGATCCGAGACTCAAATCACAGTCAGCCATGTGGGAGTCCAGCGCCCTTAACCACCATGCCACCTGTTGGCCCCATCCCTCTATTTTTTTTAATTGCCAGAAGGTGCATACATTCACCAGAGAAAGAGGTGGGAGAGAGAAGGCACCCCCAATAGGCATGGTCACACTACAGTTCTTTTTCCTCCATTTATCCATCCCATCAGGATTTTGAGTGAACACACACATGCGCTGGTGTACAAGCCCCCAGGGTTGGGATTTGAACTATAATTGGCCATGTGGGATCTAACTCCCCAATCACAGGGCTTAATCCTCTGTGCCACATGGCTAGCCCTAAGTTCATCTACAGTCAAGCGTGAATCAATACTTCATTACTTTTTGTATTGGAATAATATTCCATTGTATGGATATTTATATTTTGTTTATCCATTTATTAGTTGATAGACATTTGGGCCATTCTCACTCTTTGGCTATTATGAATAATGCTGCTATGGACATTTGTTATTTTTTTAATAATTCCTTATTTTATTTATTATTATTTTTTTTTTTTATTATTTGCTCACCAGAGAAAGAGAGAGGGAAAAGTGAGAAAGCAAGCTGCCAGGTCTGGGACTCGAACCGGTCAGCCATGCCATGTGGGAGTCCAGTGCCGTAATCACCACGTCATCTGCTGGCCCCTGTTCTGTCTTTTTTAAAGATGTCACATTAATCTATTGTATAATTAAACATTTTTAAACTCATTCAACTTTTTTCTTTATAATTTGCTATAATACGCATGTACTTGCCAGAGAGACTGAAGGACAGTAAGAAAGCACTCCCCATGGGAAATAGTCACAATAGAACCCTTCACCTCCATTTCTCCTTTTGGGATTTTGGGCACACACGCATGTGTGCTTGGTATGTTTTTTCATGTGGGATCCAAGACCTCCATGCAGGAGGTCATGTGGGATCCAGCTGCCTTAACCACCACATCACCAGCTGGCCCTCATTCAGCTTTTAAGAATTAAATTTTTGGGGACCAGCAGTTGGCGTAATGGCTGTGTCGCTGGACTCCCATGTATTTGACCGCAGTTCGCATCCTGGACCCGGTGGCTTAAAACTCACGCCGGGCGCGTGTGCGTGCATGCCCAAGATCCTGAGAGGAGAATGGAGGAGAAGGGCTTGAGGCGTGGCCATCCCCCCAGAGGGTGATTTCTCACTATCTATCTCTGTCTCTCTCTCTGTCTGGTGAGCACACGCGCCCTGTAGCAAAAACCTCTAAAAAAAAAAAAATTAAATTAAAAAAAAAATTTATGTATGCAGGGGCCGGCAAAGTGGCATGGTGGTAAAAGGCGCTGTACTCCCACATGGCCGACCACGGTTCAAGTCTCGGACCTGGTGGCTTGCTTTCTCACTTCCTCTCTCTCTCTCTCTGTGTCTCTCTGATCAAACTGGAAAATAATAATGATAATAATAAATAAAGTTAAATAAAATAATTCTTAAAAAAATTTGTATATGCAAATACACACATAAGCATAACACACATGTATGTATTCTCCTGAGAACCTATATTAGTTGGGTGTTTTTGTTTTGACCGCAGACTTTCAGTGTACATTTAAATCAGTTATAATTGTGAGCTAAGTCAGATGTGTACAGTGGTGACATTTCCCCAATCCTGGAACAATAGAATGGTGTTAGCTAAGAGACGCCAGTATCAGGGAGCAGTAGAAATCCAGCAAACACCGAGGTTAAGGGCCAGTTAGTACCAGCTGAAAAACAAGCAAGGTCCACAGCTCAGGAAGGGTGACCCAGTTTAGAGGCCCTGAGAGACTGCAGGAAGGAGCTAGCCAGCCCCAGGAATCAGGATCAGTACAGGTTGGTAAGAGCAGTGGTTGGGAGAAATGGTGCTAAAAACCCCAGCTGTGACTTGTATGTAGCTCTGGTTTGTGGGCTCGTGTGAGTGGGCAACAACTCCAGCATGTGGATCCACTATGGGATCACAGTAGGGGCCGAGAGACCGAGTTTTCCACTGTTGTTCCACACAGTGTCAACAGCAGTCATTACTTTGGGTTTTTATCCTGATATGGCAAGTGAGTAACCAAAACAACAGGCCCAGTTATTACCAGTGTTTCCTCCAGTCCTTCTCCAAACTAGAGAGATTAATTGCATCACAAAAGTTTACTTCTCATCAACCACAGGTTGAGGATTGCTCTGGGCAGGAGATGCAGGGCTCATCCATGTCCTCACTGTGTCTTCAGGGCTGCTGTGGGGCACTTCAGAGCCCAGTGGGCCTGTTTGGAGACAGGTTTTCTCATAAACCTGGCTGTGTACCCTTGAGAAATGAAACAGTCTGAAGACTTTTCTGAGCCTGTAAAATAGGAATCTGGGGGGCCAGAAGGTGGTGTAGTGATTAGGGAGCTGGATTCCCATGTGGCCCACTGCAGTTTGAATCCTGGGTCTGGTGACTTGAAACTCACGCCAGGCACGTGTGCTTGTGCGCCCAAAATCCCAAGAGGAAAATGGAGGAGAAGGAACTGTGGCAAGGCCATCCCCCTTGGAGGATGTTTCTCACTTTCTGTCTCTCTGGCAAGTGCACGTGTCCTATAGCAAAAACCCCTCTCTTTCAACAACAACAACAAAAAATTGTGACCCAAATAACCCCCCTGGTCCTCACTACTTCTAAGTTCCCTCTCCATGACAGACTCCATAGTGGGTTCTATGCCATGTCTCTGCCAGCTTCCCTAGTACAGGACCCTGACTCTAGCAGCCAGTTTATCCCTGGCTCAGAACCTGTTGTTATAGATTACAGCTGAATGACAGGTCCACCCTCACTACTGGCAAGCTATCAAAACAACAATACTCAGGATCTCACTATGCAAAAGCGATGGAAGAATTAAAATGTATTGGGGAAAGGCTGTGGGTAAGTGGTGGAAAATGTTCTCGGGATGCAATTAGAATTGTGAATTATTACATTTTACTTTGTATTGATTAGATTTGCATTGTCTAGCCAGATCTATGCATAGGTTTGCACAGAAAAATGGGAGCATTTGCTCTAATAATCAGTTCCCTTGGGTGGCATGTTCAACTCCTTAACAAAATTCATGTTTGTTACAAAACTTACAATTAAGTTAAAGGAATCTTACATTAGCTATTTTGAAATAGTTGAATAGTCTCAACCTCTTAATTCCAATACCTAATAACTTGGAAAAGAACTTTTCAAATAATAACTAATGTCATAATTATTGTCTAAGCACTTCATGAAGATTGTTTTATTTTATCTTTTTTATTCACGGTAGCATATGCAAAAGAGAGAGAGAAAAAACACCACTAAAGGGTCCTAGATATGCCACACAATCTTTTTTCCTCCAATTCTTCATCAAGTCAGGATCCTGGACACACACCATCAAGGCCAGCACGAAGCTAACTAGGCCTGGATTCAAACCCACATCAGCCATGTGGGATCTGGCTTCCTCTTTACAGCACGCAGTCAGTGCACTATGGGGCAGGCCCTGTAAGTGAACCTTAACCAAGTGAACCTTCTCTCAACCCTTTGAGGTCATTCGATTATTATTTCCATTTTACCAGTGAGGAAGCTGAGTCTCAAGGAGGCTAAATATTTTGCCTCTGGTCACACAGCTGGCAGGTGATGGCACTGGAACTTGGGTCTGGTTTCACGTGGGCAGGGACTTTTCTTCCTTTTCATCCCTGGAACCTAGTATCTGGCGGATAGTGAGCCTTCAGATATTTGTATAGTGAATTGAATTTGTGTGTGTGAATATATTTTTTTTGTCTTAGATAAAAATCGTTTTCTGACTAGCTGTAGTGGCACAATAACATGGTAGTCTGTGATGCTGTGGCAACATGGGAAGGTCCCAGAACCACGTCCTGTGCAAGCTGGGCATGTGTGTGCCCATCATGCTGACCGGCTGAGGCTGGGAGTGGATCACAGCATAAAAACCCCACTGGGGGGCTGGCAGATGGCGTGGTAGGTAAGGGCACTGGACTCCCACATGACTGGCCATGGTTCAAGTCCTGGACCTGGTAACTTGCTTTCTCACTTTCCCTCTCTCTCACTCTCCCTATCCCTCTGTAGTCAAATTAAAATAAATAAATAAAGTTAAGTAAAATAATAACTTTTAAAGAATTATTTAATTTTATTTATGCATCCATTTTTTTTTTTTTGAGAGATTTTCACTGTAGGGCGCGTGCGCTCGCCAGACAGACAGAGACATAGAGACAGAAAGCGAGAAATCACCCCCCAGGGGGGATGGTCACGCCGCAATCCCTTCTCCTCTATTCTCCTCTCGGGATCTTGGGCACGCACGCACACGCGCCCGGCGTGAGTTTTAAGCCACCTGGTCCGGGACATGAACTGCGGTCGACTACGTGGGAGTCCAGTGACATACATAGCCATTACGCTAACTGCTGGTTCCTTCTGCATCCATTTATTTTAATTTGACTGTAGAGAGAGAGAGGGAAAGTGAAAAAGCAAGCCACCAGGACTGGTACTTGAACCATGGTTGGCCATGTGAGTGTCCAGCACCTTAACCACCACACCACCTGCTAGTCCCAATAAAATAATTTCTTTTTTTGGAGAGGTTTTTGCTATATGGTGTGTGCACTCGCCAGACAGACAGAGAGAGACATAGAGACAGGAAGCGAGAAATCACCCTCCAAGGGGGGGATGGCCACGCCACAATCCCTTCTCCGCCATTCTCCTCTCGGGATCTTGGGCACGCACGCACACGCGCCCGACGTGAGTTTAAGCCACCAGGTCTGGGACTTGAACCACGGTCCACTACGTGGGAGTCCAGTGACATAGCCAGTACGCTAACTGCTGGTTCCCCAATAAAATAATTATTAAAAACAAAAAAAACAAAAAAACTCCACTAGGGATGTCTCTCCTCATCATCACTCATGGAAGATATAAATAACAACAGTGTTTTCTAATAAGCAGTGTGCTTTGAGACATGATTTGAGTAAATGAAAGAGTTTTAACTCAAATGTATAATGTGTTATTTTAAGGAACATGAGAGAATTTCAAGAATCCATGAAGAGTTTAAGAGAAAGAAGAATGTGAGTAAAAATTTTCTCCTTTAAAATATACTCTTACTCAGGTACACTTGTGGTCATTGACAGACTTCAGATTCTCTTATCTAAAGTATTTAAAGTATTTATTTTCTGTATTTCTCTTAAGGCTACTTTCTAGGGAAAATAGGTGGTTGCTGGATGCCTTCTCTTATAACCTCTGTCCTAAATACAGTCTGCTGCTTCTTTCTTGAGTGACGTAGGGACACCAGCACTGACAAGGAACTCTTCTTCCATATTTCCCTCAAAAGGACAAATTATTTTACATTTTTCCAACTCTACTTCTCACTTAATCTCACAAGTCAGTAGAGGCTGGAGAAGTCTCCTGTTAATCTTTTCTATACATTTATTTCCCTTTTTACGGTTAAAGATGCCTCAGCTCTTTGTATTTCCCACTCAGTTTTACTATGAACCTAAAACTGCTCTAAAAAATAATGTGTATTTTTTGAAAAGCATAGAGAGAGCTTGAGTGTCATTCTGATTATGCAGATTTGGAACTTTGCTGTAGATAATTCTACTCATCAAGTAATTTTCTGGGTGACAATCTATGTTTCGGTCTTCTTTGCTGAGGAAGCCAGACTCTGAAATAATAGTTCTGTTTCTTTTACAGGATCCTACATTTCTGGAGAAAAAAGAACGCTGTGATTACCTAAAGAATAAACTTTCTCACATAAAACAAAGAATTCAAGAATATGATAAAGTAATGAATTGGGATATACAAGGTTATTCTTAAGCCTTATTTGGAACTACTTTTTCTTTTAATAGCAGATTTATTATTTATTTACTGCCTTTTTTATGCTCTGTGGTAGAGAAGCAAGTGCTTTCAGAATTAGGTTCTGGTTTAACAGGTAGGCAATGTTAAACAAGATGACTCAAACATTTTGCAACAAATTCAGATTTACTGAGGGCCTTTACTGAGAATGGAAGAAGTCCTGTATTCATCTGCATACAGTTTCACATTTGTCCATCCCCCTAGACTGTGTTGTCATTTTAGAGGACGTATCCTTGTGGGGTGAGGATGAGTGAAATCTCCATTCCAGTGCTGCTGTTTCCTTTATAATGCAGGCAGATTGCTGTGATTTTTCTAAGACAGATTTCTCTTCCTAAAACAGTCCAAAGGGATTCCTAAAGGATGCTTCCTATGGGAACATGGATAACACCTTTTCAAAGGTGTCATTTCTTCCTTTGAAAGGGGTTTGAAATTTAAATCACCATTTTTAACCTTTGTGTTCTTTTGGGAATACCTAATCTCTTGTGCTTGTTTCCTCTTCTATAAAAGGGAACTAATCAGAGTACCAACCTCTGGGGGCCACCAGGTGACATGGTGTCTAAGATGCTGGACACTCCCACATGGCTGCCCACGGTTCAAATCCTGGACCTGGTGACTTGCTTTCTTGCTTTCCCTTTTTCTATCTGGTCAATTAAAAAAATAATAAAATTAACATAAATATTTTTTAAAGAAGAATACCAGGACCAGCAGTTGGCATAATGGCTAGGTCACTGGACTCCCATGTAGTCGACTGCGGTTCGAGTCCTGAACCCAGTGGCTTAAACTTACACCAGGGGCATGTGCATGCATGCCCAAGATCCCGAGAGGAGAATGGAGGAGAAGGGACTGCAGTGTGGCCATCCTCCCTCGGGGGTGATTTCTTGCTTTCTGTCTCTCTCTGTCTTTTTGGCGAGCACACGCGTCCACCCTATAGCAAAAACCTCTCCACAAAAAACAAACAAACAAACAAAAAAAACCTACCTACCTCATAGGGCTTGAGGATTAAATGAGTTAATATTTATAGAAAATGTAGTACAGAGCTTGCCACATTATAAGAACTTTATTAGTTTTTGTGAAATAAATAAACCACATAAAAAGAGTCTCAAGAAAAGGTCCCTATGAGCAAGCCCAACACAGTTACCACAAGGCCCTGTGTGTCTCGGGGTGTTCTTTTCTGTGCTGTTAGCTCTTTGTACACACAGTCTCAGGCACATGTTTTTCTGTGGTTCTATGGCCTCTGGGCCCAACCTGGCATCCTTATCTTCAGGCAGTTTCACTGCGCATTTATCTCCAGATCCCCAGCCCAATCTGCCTTGGATACATCAGGTCAGGTCGGGTTGTTGTAAATGTTGCTGCCTCTGTTATCCCCTGTGGACATCCATCCTAAAGCCCCATGATACTATAATTATCTAATTTGCCGTAGGGTACATGCACCTCTCCACGAGGGTCTTTAGAAAGAGAGCTTTAGAAAGAGAGCGAAAGCAAGAAAGCACTTTCCCCAGGGGGCATGGTCAACACACTCCCTTCTCTTTCATTCTTCTCTGAGGATTTTGGACACACACATGCACCCAGTGTATTTTTTAAGCAGCCAGTTGGTCATATGGGCTCCATCCGTGTTACCCACCACGCCGCTGGCTGGTCGCCTATAATATTGTATTTACTTGGACTCTCCATTCAATTTATTGGTATGCTTCAGCTTTCCAAGAATTATTTTGGCTCTGGGGCTTTAGTCATGAAAAAGAGTTCTGTCTTTGTTAGTATGAACAATGGACTGCCTTTTTTTTAAAAAGTGTGTGTGTATGTGTGTTTTGTTTTGTTAATTCACTGGATCCTATTCAGCAGCTTTTATCTTGTAGGTAATTTCCCAGGTATAGAATTACAGTTTCTGCCTGGTTCAGCTGCCATTCATACAGTTAATGTTCAAAGAGTTTTCTGAACTGATGAAACCAAAGAAAAGCATGTGGAAAAGCAAGGCTTTAGGAAGTGGGAGTCACTGAGTGAACTTCTAGTTTTTCTTTGTCAGAGTTCATTCAGATGTGGTAACTCCTAGTGAAGTGTGAAACCCCTTCTGAGGGCTCCCCAACTAGAATAGCTTCACTTCCTGTTTTATATATTGGGGCCCCATTCGAACATTTCACTTAAGAGCACCAATACTTTAAAAATAAATCTACTACCATTTTGGTAGATTTATAAAGAGTTAGGTTAATATTGAAGTGTGTTATTTTACTACAATTGTAAGTGGTAATCTTTGACAACCAATGTAACACTGATTTTTTAAAAAATTTTTATGTCAATACTAGTTACATTAAAATTTCAATTACCTGTTGTTTCATGTATGCTCGTTATTGTCTGTTTTTCTAACTTTCCTACGTTCACTGGCATTCTTAAAAATCTTTTTGCTTATCAGAAAATAAACTGGAAAGTCACGAAAGCCTGCAAGTCCTGATGTTCAGGTGACTCACTACTTCCTCCTCCACCCCCATTATTTGCAAAAATTCAAAGTCTAGGCCACCATATCAGTTTCCTAGGGCTGCCACATCAAAGTAGCACAAATGAAAAAACAAACAAAAACACCAATTTATCATCTCACAGCAGGTGAGAGGTGTGAATACAAGGGTTGGCAGAGCGGTGCTCTGCCTGCAGGGGAATCCCTCCTTGCTTCTTAGCTTCTGGTGGTTTTACATTCCTCGGTTTATGGAGGTATCTGTCCAAGTCTTGCCCTTCATGTGGCCGGCTCCCTGTGTCTTCCTGGATCATAAGGACACCAATCATAGTGGACTATGGGCCCACCTCTCCAGTATGACCTCATCTTAACTAAGTACCTTGCAAGGAGCTTATTTCCAAATTAAAGGTCATGTTCTGAGGTATGGTTGTTAGGAACATCAACAGATCTTTTTTCCTTTTTTATGTTTTTATTTTTCTTTCATGAAAAAAAAAAAAGGTACCCTCAATAGTCATCTTGTGTTGAACCACCCCTCCCCAGCTCCCACCCCCCAGCCCCCGAGTCTCCCAGCCTGCTGTGCTCACAGGCTGTACACTCAGTGAGTTTCAGTCACTAGGGATTGGAACCCACGTGGTCGTGGTCTTGTGTGTAGCACCCGCATGACAGAGCAGGGCTCCCCACCCCCCACCTCCCGTGCCACTGTGCTTGGGCCCAACATGTCTTTTTGAGGGAACATGATTCAACCCATAATAGCCACCTTTGTAAGAGTCGAAAGGAAAAATGCTTCCCTACATGTCCTTGTACCTGACTAACGTGCATTCTAATTTGAAACTTAATATGATATGTCAGTATATACAAAACTCGGAAAATGTACATATTCTTCACTCATTTGCCCATTTTCTGTCCAATGCTTTCGTGGTACCAGATGCTGTAGTCAGTGAATCAGGTGGAGACCTTGAGAATCAGTAACAAAGTTTACAGTGTTGTGATGTGCATTTCTAGAAACAGTTTGTGTAATGAACCTGATACTGAGATGCATCAAAGTTCAAAAGATACACAACACAGAAAATATGTATAATTTTTCTGAGTCTCTGTCCTTTTTTTGTTTTTGTTTTTTGTTTTTGTTTTTGCTTCAAGGCTTTGCCATAGGGCGCATGTGCTCATGGGAGAGAAACAGAGATGATGAGAGGAAAAGTGAGAAATTACCCTCCAAGAGGGATGGCCACATTGCAGTCCCTTTTCATCCCTCCTCCTTCATTCTCCTCCTGGGATTCTGGGCACGTATACATGTGCCCAGTCTAAGTCTCAAGCTGCTGGATCTGGGACTCGGCCTGTGGTTGGCCACGTGGGGGTCCAGTGCCTTAGTCATTATACCACCTGTTGGACCCTATTATGTTATTTTTTTAAGCAAAAGCAAATGAGTATAAAAGCTTAAAAATTGGAAAATGAAAGTCCCACAACTATCAATTCCACTCCCTGGCAATATGTACTGTTTGGAGCATATTCTTCCATATTTTTTGTGATACAAAATTATTTTTGTCTACCTTAATGCTTTACATATGTTTTTAAAGAAGAGTATTAGAGAGGCTGCCCTAACGGGTAGTAGAGTAACTCTCCTACAGTAGAGACACTGCCTGGGAATGTAGGCATAGAATAGAAGGGATGGCTCAGCCCAGAGGAGAAGGTGAACTTCAGAGTTCTTCACAACCAAGACCTGTTACTATGTGACCTTCAGAAATGACCCTCTCCAAGCATCAGCTTCTTTTTTGTTTTTTTTTGGTTTTTTTTTTTTTGAGAGGTTTTTGCTATAGAGCGTGTGCTCACCAGACAGAGAGAGACGGAGAGACAGAAAGCAAGAAATCACTACCCAGGGGGGATGGCCATGCCGCGATCCCCTCTCCTCCATTCTCCTCTTGGGATCTTGGGCACGCACGCACACGCGCCCAGCGTGAGTTTAAACCACCGGATCCAGGACTTGAACCACGGTTGATTTCATGAGAGTCCAGCGACATAGCCATTACACCAACAGTTGGTCCCAAGATTCTTTTTTTTAAGAATAATTTATTTCATTCCATTTGATATTATTTTTTAATTTGACCAGACAGAGAGAGAGAGAGAAGGAAAGTGAGAAAGCAAGCCGCCAGGTCTGGGACTCAGAATACTACAGAGCTGTAACAAAAACTATGAGCTATTGTTACATGCTAGCCATGGCATGTTTTGTCTGAACATGGTCTTGTCTGGACAAAGCCAGACGAAAGTGCATTCTACACCATTCCATTTATATGAAGCCCAAACATGCAAGAATGATCTAGGCCAGAAACAGGAGTTACTTTAGGAGAGTAAATATTAACTAGGAAGGGGCCTGAGGGAGTCCTCTGGGGTATGGAAATTTTATATATAGCTCTCTCTTTATATATATACACACACACACACACATACATACACATACATACATACACTCACACGCAAACGTTTATTGAACTTCTCCCTTGAGATGGATGCACTTTATGCACTTAATATGTCTGTTACGGGACCAGCAGTTGGTGTAATGGCTATGTCGCTGGACTCCCATGTAGTCGACCACGGTTCAAGTCCGGGACCCGGTGGCTTAAACTCACGCTAGGCATGTGTGCACGTGTGCCCAAGATCCTGAGAGGAGAAGGACTGCAGCATGGCCATCCCCCTGGGGGGTGATTTCTCACTTTCTGTCTCTCTGTCTCTGGCTTTCTGGTGTGTGCACGCGCCCTATAGCAAAAACTTCTCAAAAAAAAAAAAAATGCTTTTGGGGGCCAGCAGGGGATGGGGGG